ATGGAATAAGAGGGATGTGAGAAGTGGTGGAATAATGATGTGAAAAGGCAACACTAAAAAAGATTTGCTACGATCTATTAAGAAATATAGAATGAACTAAAATGTTTATGATAATCACATCTAGTATATTAAAAAGTTTGCAACAAAAATGGCATGGAGTAAAACAGCAAATGCTATTTCTCTCAGTTGGAGTGAGGACATTGTGGAAATAACATAAATATTTTCTATATCAGTCAGTTGTTGACAATTACAAATTGTATAAATGACACAGCAGGCTGCAAATTAGGTAGGATCAAGGAAGGCTATAGAGCCCTGGTGAGGCAGGTGAAAAACATTGGTGCCTGGGTCATCTTCCCATATATCCTACCACTTAGGGAAATTGAGATGGCCAGGAGCAGACACATAGGGCGGATCAATAACTGGTTTTGTGGCTCGTGTCATCAAGAAGGTTTTGGCTTTTATGACAATGGATCATTCTTCAATGAGTGTAGACTGTTAGGGAAGGATGGGATCCATCCGTCTAGAAGGGGCAGAGAATCTTTGGCAGCAGGCTGGCCAATTTGGTGAGATGGGCTTTAAACTGAAGGACCCAGGGGGTGGGGTCCAGAGTGGCAATGCTCATACTGTTGCTTCCTTCTGGGGGATAGATCTTGCTAACCAGTGCAGGGACAGCTGTCGCTTGTTTGACTCTTAAGGTGAGGATCATAGGGCTAACTGTATCAAGGGGTTTTATGGTAAATCTTACACCCCTTCTAGGGAACCTAGCTGTGACATTACCTCTCTGAAGTGCATGTATACAAACGTGCATAGCATGGGAAATAAACAAGATGAACTGGAAATTGATGTGTGGTCACAGGGCCATGACCTCATTGCAATTACTGAGACATGGTGGGATAGCTCACGTGACTGGAATGTTGCCATGGACACCTATGTACCTTTTAGAAAGGACAAGTCAGAGAGATGAGGTGGTGGAGTTGCTCTTTATGTGAAGGAGCAACTGGAATATATAAAGCTCTACCCAGGGATAGATGAATGAGTTGAGAGTCTATGGGTGAGAATTAGGGGACAGGCTAATATGGGGGACACTGTTGTGGGCGTTTACTATAGGACACCTGATCAGGAGGAGGAAGTTGATGAGGCCTTCCATGAGCAGCTGGAAATAGACTCGCAGTCACAGGCCCCGGTTCTCCTGGGGGAATTCAACCACCCAGATATTTGCTGGAGAGATAAAATGGCCAACATACACAGTCCAGGAAGTTCCTGCAGGTAGGTCACTGAAGATAACTTTTTGTTACAAGTGGTGGGGCCAACAAGGAAAGGTGTGTTGCTGGACCTTGTACTTACAAACCAAGAAGGACTGGTTGATGACATAAAGGTTGGGGGCTGCCTTGGATTTATCGATCACGAGATAGTGGAACTTGGGATCCTGTGTGGGGGCAGCAAAAAAGTAAGCAGGACTAGAACCCTAAACTTCTGGAATGCTAACTTCAGCCTCTTCAAAGAGCTACTGAGAGGAATCCCATGGGATAGGGCTCTAAAAGAAAAGGGAGTCCAAGAGAGCTAGTCATTATTTAGGCACCACTTCCTCCAAGCCTAAGAACAGTGTAATCCCATGAGATGATGAAATCAGGCAAAGGGGGCAGGAGATCTGCATGGATGAGCAGGGAGCGCCTAGTAAATCTTAAACTTAAGAAGGAAATTTATGGGATGTGGAAAAAGGGACAGGCCAAGCGGGAGGACTATGGGAACATCGCCAGGGTACCCAAGGTGATGTGACATGGAAGGCCAAGGCCCGCTTAGAACTGAGTCTGGCAAAGGACATCAAGAACAAGAAGAAGGGCTTCTACAAGTATATCGGCAGCAAAAGGAAGATAAGGGAAAATGTGGGGCCGCTCCTGAATCAGATGGGTGTCCTGGTAACAGAAGACACAGAGAAGGCGGAATTACTGAATGCCACCTTTGCCTCAGTCTTTACTGCTAAGGATGGCCCTCAGAAGTCCCAGGCCTCGGTGGTTAGAAATGAAGGCCAGAGAAAGGAAGACTTTCCCTTGATCATAGATGGTTAGGTTAGGGACAGGCTAGACAAACTTACCACCCGTAAAGTCATCTTTGAAAAATCATGGAGAATGGGTGAGGTGCCCGATGACTGGAGGAAGGCCAAGTTACTCCTATCTATGAAAAGGGCAAGAAGGAGGACCTGGGAAACTGCCGGCCAGTCAGCCTCACCTCCATCCCTGTAAAGGTGATGGAACAGGTCATTCTGGAAGTGATCACCAAGCATATAGAAGAGAAGAAGGTCATCAGGAGTAGTCAGCATGGATTCACCAAGTGGAAATCTTGCCTGACCAATCTGATAGCCTTCTATGATGACATAGCGGGATGAATCGACCACGGGAGAGCAGATGATGTTATCTACCTTGACTTCAGCAAGGTTTTTGACACCGTCTCCCATAACATCCTCGTAGGTAAGCTTTGAAAATGTGGGTTAGATGAATGGACTGTGAGGTGGATTGAGAACTGGCTGAATGGCAGAGTTCAGAGGGTTGTGATGAGCAGAGCAGAATACAGTTGGAGGCCTGTAATCAGTGGTGTTCCCCAGGGATTGATACTGGGTCCTGTCTTATTCCTGGATGAAGGGCTAGAGTGTACCCTCAGCAAGTTTGCTGATGATATGAAGCTGGGGGCAGTGGCTGATCCACCTGAAGGCTGTGCTGCTTATTCAACAGGACCTTGGTAGGCTGGAGAACTGGGCAGAGAGAAACCTCATGAAGTTCAACAAGGGCAAGTGTAGTGTACCGCACCTGGGGAGGAAGAACCCCAAGTACCAGCACAGACTGGGGGCTGACCTACTAGAGAGCAATTCAGCTGAGAAGGACCTGGGAGTATTGGTGGATGATAAGTTGACTATGAGCCAGCAGTATGCCCTTGCGGCCAGGAGGGCCAATAGTATCCTGGGGTGCATCGGGAGGAGTGTGGCCAGCAGGTTGAGGGAGGTGATCCTCCCCCTCTACTTGACCCTGGTGAGGCCACATCTGGAGTACTGTGTCCAGTTCTGGGCTCCTCAGTAGAAGAAAGACAAGGAGCTACTGGAGAGGGTCCAGGAAAGGGCCACAAGGATGATCAGGAGCCTGGAGCATCTCTCTTATGAGGAGAGACTGCGGGAGCTGGGCCTGTTTAGTCCAGAGAAGAGCAGACTGAGAGGGGATCTCATTAATGCATATAAATATCTCAAAGGTGGGTGCCAGGAGGGTGGTGCTGGACTCTTTTCAGTGGTGCTCAGCAACAGGATGAGGAGCAGTGGCCATAAACTAAAATACAGGAAGTTTCATTTCAGCATGAGGAAGTTTTCATTTCAGCATTTCAGCATTCCTTACATTGAGGGTGGCAGAGCACTGGAATGGGCTGCCCAGGGGGGTCTGGAGACATTCAAAACACACCTGGATGCGCTGCTTTGTAACCTGCTCTAGATGGCCCTGCCTTGGCAGGGGGGTTGGACTGGGTGATCTCCAGAGGTCCCTTCCAACCCTAATGATTCTGTGACCTGTGGACCAACCCTCTGCTCAAAGTAGGAGCAACTTCAAAGTTACATCAGGTTTCTAAGGGCCTTCCAAGTCAAGTTCTGAAATTTGGACTTCCTTTACAATTGGGATATTTATAGTTAGTGAAAACTGGATGAACAAATTCCTTTTCAGTAGTTGAAAATAAACTGTGCTGTTTTACAGGAAATAAACAAGCTAGTTCAGCGGTGACTAAACTTTTTCTTTCTGTGGTGTGTATGAAACATTTCCTGGTTGTAGGTTGACCAGAGTTTGTTTAATATTAAAGAGATATTTTCAGATCAATTTTGAAGTGGCTACTATTTTTAAAATTGTCTTGGCTTTGGCTGCAACAGTTTTCTCTTCCTAGTAGCTGTTGCAGTGCTTTGTTTTGGCTTTTGTCTGAGAACAGTTCTGATAACACACCAGTATTTTAGTGGCTAAGTAATGCTTACCACTCTCAAGGACTTTTCAGTCTCTCATGCCCTGCCATTGAGGAGGGGCACGGGAAGCCAGGAGGGAGCAGAGACAGGACACCTGACCCAAACTAGCCAAAGAGGTGTTCCATACCACAGCACATCATGGCCAGTATAGAAACTGGGGGGGAGTCACAGGGAAGGGAGCAATTGCTGCTTGGGTCAGTCTGGGTATTGGTTGGTGGGAGGTAAGCAGTTTTATTGTGCATCACTTGTCTGTCTTGGGTTTTATTCCTCTCTCTCTTTTTGTTATCTTCCTTTTCATTACAATTATTAATTTTTAATGTACTTTATTTCAGTTATCAATCTGTTCTTATCTCAACCCGTGGGTTTTACCGTTTTTTTTTAATTCTCCTCCCCATCCTGCTGGGCCGAGGGGTGGTGGTGTTGAGGGTGGCTGCACGGTACTGGGGTTAAACTACAACAAAAATATACTAAGATTTTTTATTTGTCACTTTGTTTACTACTTGATACTTGCATCTGTAAACTACTACTTCTTTTGGTTTTGCTATATGAAAAATCTCTTCCAAAATTGTGATGTGAATATAGCAACTAATTACTTAAACTGGGTAATGCATTAAGTACTGTCCATTGCAGTATGAACCAACAGAAGTTTTGTTACCAGTTTTTGAGTTTGTTACTGTATAACTTAAGGAAATTTTATTTTGATTATCTTATCTTGTATCTTTTTTGGTGAAGGGCTCTGCTTCTGAGATCGAAAGCTTGCCTTTTGATTGCTGAATTCCATTTGATATTTTAATTCTACATTGTTTTACTTACTTTTGACTAAATTTACTTAGTATGTAGCTGAGGCTATGGTCTGTGTTTCATTTATGTTATTGAATTAAAAATTCTTTTAAGTAAAATGAAAATTTTAATTTGATTTTGTTTGTTTTGTGTCTGTGGTTTCGTTGTTTGTGTGGTGTTTTGTTGTTGTGTTGGGTTTTTGTTTGTTGTTTGTGGTTTTTTTTGTTTGTTTGTTTTTTTTTAGTGCTTGGGAGATGGGAAGTAATGATAGCTGGCACCTGAACTAAAATATCTGTGTAGGCGCTACCATCCCAGAACTTCAGGATGAATGGGGATATGCCTCATGTTCCCATCACTACTCTTGCAGGGATTGCTAGTCTTACAGACCGTAAGTACTCTTCTTTTTTTATCTTTAATATGTTCCCTTCTACCAGTTCAGTAAATGCCTGCATTTAAAAATAAAACTGTTTTTAGTGTTTTGAAAAGTTCTTAAAAGTTAATCTGTTAAAAATCAGATTTGGTATTAAAAATGTTAATTTTGTCATTGCTTGAATTTTAGAAATATGCTAATTTAAATATGAAATGTATGTTTAAAAATATTAAATAAACCTGAATATACTTTAAACCTAGTTTTGGGAGAGTATGAAAAAATTGCTCTAAGTAACAGGTGCAGTTGGGACAGAGATGCATATTGTTTATCAAGTGTAAGCAAGAGTTTTTAGCTCACTTGTCTGTGAGGATAATTGGACTCAGTGACCCAAGTGCTTCTTCTGAGATCTTGTTTTAATTATTATTATACTGTTGAAAATTGGAGACATTCCAAAGGACACTGAAAGTGTATACCCAGCAATTGAATTCAGTTGCCTACAGTAAAAAAGCAGATGTATCCAAGGGAAAAAAAACCCTACTTCTTTGTCAGCTTGATATTGTGAAGTATGAAATTTGAAGATGCTGCTTATGTATCTAATATGTGTATATATGTATCATTATGTGTGTCTAATAATGGGCCATCAGGATGCAAATCATAAGTTTCTGGGCTACGGGAAGTTTTCCATCACTGAGTATTTGCAGGGGTTCTAAAGAAGTCAAGATACTTAACTGGTAAAAGTCACTTGTCAGAATCCTGGTGCAAGTTTCTTGAAACACTGAATGAAATACCTTTGGTGGGATTATCTCTTGTGTTAGGTATATTTGCTTCGTTATCTGTGGTATTTATCTGATGCTTAGAAAGTCAGGTGAAAGATAAAGGCTTGTTACTGCTTCACCTTCTCTTGATGTGAAAGGAAGGTGCTGGAATGGACAAGTTCCGTTGCCCTAAAAACATGGAGGACATGATGACTAGAGGCAGTAGAGTAGGCTCAGTTAACTAGCTGAATTTATACTGCTTTAATAAATGTGTTTTGCTGATCTTGCTAATTTTTCCAAGTTTCAAGGCACATTCAAGGTAATCTAAAGCAAGTAATAAAAGCTAGATATTTTAATTTATTATACACTTTTATTTGAATTGCAATTTATTTCTAAATGCAATAATGGTATACATTGCATAGGGGAAAAAATACTGGAATTCTGTGTGTCCCCCCTTTTTAAAAAAAAAAGAATTTAAAAATATAAAAGAGCCAAGAAGAGTCTGTTTCACAGTTGATTTTCTTTGAAGCTATTTCTAATGCAATCAGCCTGGAAACTTCAAGTCAGTTAGCTTGTTTTTGTGGCCCTATGAAAATTACTTTGCTATATAGCAGGCTTTTTGGCCTCTTCTGGCTTACTCATCTCTGTAACCCTTCAAAATCATCCGGTCAAGGCTTATTTGGTATACTTCCTTGTTATGATTTTAGAATGCCCTCTAAAAGTATAGTATGCTCATTTATAATCTATTACTGTGATAACTGTTTTCATTAAACAAATCTTTTTACCAAGATTTGTGAATATATTGACTGAATTGACATTTTAATGATCATTCCAACCAACTATACTAGCATTTTCTTGAGATTGCTTACATAAAAATGAATATAACAGGAGAAGAATAAGCCAATAATTTAATTAGTAGCTTAAGCTGATTGTGGATTTCTTTAGTTTTTGTGCTGGTATTTTTTGTGGGTTTGTTTTTTTTCTTTTATGGTGGTTTTGTTTGTTGGTTGTTTGCTTTGGTGGTGTTTTGTGTGGTATGTGGTTTGGGTTTTTTTTTTTTTATTTTTTTTTTTTTCTCTACCCTCACCATAGAAAGTGAGAACACTGATTAAATATGAAGGTCAGAGTAGAAAACAATGTATATGATCAGTGCACTTACAGTACTGCATGCAGCTACAAGGATTTTGCATTTCCTTCCTTCCCTTTATCCATACATTCAGCTCCAAGGGAAAACTACCCTAACATTAAATACTTTAATATTCTGGTATGTTTAAAAATATGTTTTTATTTACTATACTTGTGTTAGCACAGTTAAATATTCACAATAATATAGTAATATAACTTATGGACTTGACTGCATCACTTTCTTTAAAATAGAGTCCAGCCTTTGTGTGTGTTCAATATTAAAAAAATTAAAAAAATTAAAAAATCCAGAAATCTTTCCTATATTTCAAATGTGGTTGTTAGATTTTCTTTCTTAATCACATGAGGGAATAAGAAGGTGTCCATCTTTGTATGCTCATCTTTCATGAAATGATTATTCTGAACTCCTTTTTATTTTCTGATAACAGTTTTGAACCAGCTGCCTCTTCCATCACCTTTACCTGCTACAACAACAAAAAGCCTGCTTTTCAATGGACGGATAGCTGAAGAGGTGAACTGCCTTCTGGCTTGCAGGGATGAAAATCTGGTTTCACAGCTCATCCACAGTCTCAATCAGGTGTCAACAGATCACATGTATGTATTTTGAACTTTGACTATATAAGAGGCTAGTTTAGCACATTACCACTGTGTAAAAGTCAATTGTTTCAATCAGAATGCTAGTAAAATGTCCAAGAGCCCTTATGTAGATCTACTGCTTGTTCCGTTCTTGCTAGTTAGGAGTGCAGCCTTTGTGTTATTGATTGTGCAATAGTCATTTCTGTTCCACTTTGGTCAATAATGCACATAGACAAATTATATACCCGGTATTACACAAAAATATACTTTTATGAGACATCCATTCAAGACCTATGTCAGTTTTGATTACTTATTGAGCCAGTAAGTATGCTAACATATTCTCTTTTTGTTAGTATATGTTTTGTTTTATCATTTTTCCCTGGTGTCCTTTGAATTGTCTTATGTTGACAGCCCTTTTTCCTACGTGTTCCAATCAATTTTTTTGATCAAATGGAAGTAGCTCTTAAAAGACCTCAAAGCAAACAATAAGTGAAAGCACAGATGTATTTATAGACAATCCGTTACATTTTTGATGGTTCAAAGAGAATCCTGTGATGTCAAAGATATGCTGATTTTCCTTTTTAAATTGAAAGATTCTCAAAGTGTTGGGCTGCAGCCTGAATATTATACATTCTTTTATGGAGAAGATCACAGTACAAAAGTGGGCATAAGAAACTGTTTATAATAGTCTGAAACTGACAGCCATGTATAGAATCATAGGATGCTTATTAATAGAAAATAAATTTGAACTTTAGTAGAAATACCTCGTCCATTCCTTCAATAAGAAAGGGGGTAAAAAATAGAGGGCAAGGAACAGTGCTTTGCAGACTTGGTTTCTGGTTTTGTTTGTTTGGGGTTTTGTTTGTTTGTTTTTGTTTTTGGGGATGGGTGAGGTGGCTTTGCTTGTTTACTTTTTGGGTTTGGTTTATTTTTGTGCCTTTTTTAAATTATATATTTTAACAGTAAATTGTCACCCTTTGTTTGGGTTAAGCTAGTTGGTTGGTTTGTTGCTTTGTTTGGGCTTTTTATACTTGATTATTTTTTTTTATAATTTGAAATTTCATTTGCCTCTTTAATTGCTTACTTTCACAATTCCAGAGAATTGAAGGATAACCTTGGCAGTGATGATCCAGAGGGAGATATACCAGTCTTGCTACAGGCTATTCTGGCAAGGAATCCTAATGTTTTCAGGGAGAAAAGTATGCAAAACAGATACGGGGTACAAAGTGGTAAGGATTTTTGTTTGTTTATTGGTTGTGTTTTATGTTGTTCTGTAAGTTTAGGGGGCTGATACTAGCCACAATTTTTTATGGAGCACAACTGTGATATTTATGCCTTACCTTGTGTTTGATAGCGATATAAAGCTATGTATCTTGACATCTTCTAAGAGTGATTGTATTAGAATAAGCATGGAAATTACTGGGTATTTTTGTAAAAAAATAATGCTTAATTTCACTGCAAAGTTTAATTTCTGGGATGATTGATTGGACTTTATTGTAATTTTATTTTAATTTCTTTATGGCTAGGTTCATATATTTGTCTTAGTAAATAATCAAAGTTGGGGGAAATATGCCTTGATCTTACTGAAAATTTATACAATTATAGTGTATCATTGTTCTTAATAGTTCTGGGGTAAGGAATAAGGATGAATCAATCATACTTAACAGCTCCTCCCTGCCGTTCCTCTTTTCAGCAGTTTGAGAGGCCCTTCTGATTTTACTTTTTCACCAGTTAATTCTTTTCTGAGGTTTCATGAGATATACTGCTGGATAGCAAAGATGGAGAAGGGGAGAGACCAATCAGCAGATTAATCAGACAGATTCTACTTGCAGATCTTGATACTTCTTTATTTGCACCTGAAGTCTTTTCTTTAAACTATGAAATGGGTAGGATAATTTCCAGTTTTCTGGTGTGATGATAAAGCTTTGCTAGCATTGTAGAGATATAGATAAAGGTGTTAATGGAGTCCGCAAAGGATAGACCATCTAAGGGTTTTTTTGTAGGGGAGAAATAATAAAATGAGATATTAAATTCATTCACCTAGGCTAGTGAGTAAAAAGCCATACAGTTTTTGAAAAGAACTTGCTAATGACCAAACACATAATGTTCCTTGAAAGAATGCAGAAATTTCCTGGAATGAAAATGTGTAAGGCAGTGCTAAATATCTAGTAGCGCATTGATACGTATATCCTGAAATTTAAGCTCTGAAAACAGTCTCCAGATTCTGAGTTTGGTGGTAGCTGTGTCAGAGTATGATATCCACCCCTCAGCCGTAGGAAATGTGACTGTCCTGACAATTTTTGCAAAGTGGTTCCTTAAAGAACATATGATTGATTCAGAGTCGTCCACCAGTTTTGTAGAGTAAAATAATTTTTTGCCAGTGCAAAAGGAAGACATTGCTTTTTGGAATTATTTGTTCTAGCAGAGGCCAATTCAGTGCTTCAGAGGAAGAAACGCTTTTGCCGATTGATTCAATAGGTTAAGAATAATCTTTAATGAAATGAAAGCATCTCTATGTTTAGTAAATATGCTTTGGCCTATGCTTGAAGGAAGGTACTAGTACAGTATTAAAAAAATTAAACATGAAACTTAAAGTAACAGTTTATGTTTTTTAAAGTTAACAAAGTTATTTCAGAGACCCAGAAGAGATCAGACTTTTAAACTTCCTTGAATATTTAATTTTATTTTACATAATTTTTGGAATTATTTGTTCAAGCTAGTTCAGCGGTGACTAAACTTTTTCTTTCTGTGATTCTTGGAAATGTATTTTGCCTTATGAAGAGATATCTTTATGAAACTTTTAAAACACTGGATTTCACCTAATTATTTTTCATAATATATCCTAGGAAGGAGGCCGAAAAAAGAAGTAAAATAAAAAATACACATGAAAAATCTGAAGTTCAAGACACTTTCTCCCAAAACTTCGTGGATGAACACTCAAAACTTGATTTGCAAGAGAAACATAGTTACAACATTATTTCTTCCATGAAACTTATTTCTAGTATCTAGAATAAGATTCTTACAGTGATACAATAGCAAACAGACTGATATAGGATTCAAACCTTTTTTTCCCCTTTAAAAGTATATCCTAAGTTATTTCAGAATATGTATAAAATATTCCTTCAGAAAACAAAATACACAAAAACTGCAGAAAAGTTATAAACCTGACATTAAAATGGATGCATTGCTCATGTGTGACACAGCTACTAGTCATGCCAATTAGTCATTAAAACCTTTACACGTTACTAAAATATACTATATTAATAACCACATACAAGACAGACTACAAGAAAGTATACTTAAGAAACATTTTAGAAAGCATACACTCACTGTATGTATCTCTGAAGGCTCTGAAAATTCCTGAGTTTCTGCACATAGATTTATGTGATAGAAAAGTCTATCCTTTTGAGACTAGAGCACAATTCCATCAGAAAGTTTTCAGTATTCCGTATCAAGAACATAAATGTTTTATTTGTAATCTGTAGACTAAACTGACAGCAATTTTACATCCAAGTCTAGCTACCTATTATTGTTAAGAAATTGAAATTTTGCCTATTGTAAGGCTCAAAAAGGAAGATGAGAAATGCTCATATTTCTAGGATAGAGAAAATATTTATCAAGGAGGCTAATATTTTTACAAATAAGTAATACTCTCTGAATTAAGTCTTTGAAGGTCTAAGGTTAGCAGAGAACAAAACACAGCATGCTAAATTCATTATAGGTATCAACTCTGTACACATGCACATGAAGTTATACATTCACAAAGGAGTTTTCTACATAATTTCTTATCAGATCAACTTTTTAAGGAAACAGTTTAATCTCAAATTCATAAGCAGTGACATACCTGAAACAGCATTCATAAATAAGCCTGTATACAGCTGATGTCTTCTCCCCTGCCACTTTGTCTATTTTTTACACAACAGCTCTATAAAAATAACTATGTAGGAAATTTAAATGTTTTAAATTAAAAACATTAAATAAGAAAGGAACACTGACCAGTTAATGACATTGATTTCACAATGTGAAATGATCTGCTTCGGTCTGAAACCAAAGCCAAAATTACAGCACCAAGAAGGAAAGCAATCTTATTTTTAAAAGTATCAAATTTGTAGAAGAGACAGTCAATCAAATATCAAACCTACAAACTATTCTGAATAATTTCCTATTCATATTTCTAATTTGAAAATGCCAGCCCACTGTTTACCAGTTTCTTTCCTCTTTCTGCATACACTGGACCATAGAGACAATATCTGAATTCTCCTAAAGATAGAACCTTTTTATAAGCTTATTGTCACAGGGCCTAAAATGTGGAGGCTTCCCAACAGAGTTTTATTTATAGTATAAGAGAGGCAGATGGGACTTTGCATTCTTATTGCATCATGTCAAAACATCCCTTGGAAAAATCACATTTAATTTCCAATTAAAAATATAAAAGAATCTTAGGGCTTGTATACATAGTATACAACACTCCAACTACACTGATTTAGTTACAGTAGTAACAGTCCCTTATATAGACACACTTAAACCAGTTTAAACCATTCATATAGCTGTTGTGTTTAAACAGATAATTTACCAGATCAAACTAATGTAGCTGAAGTACAGCTTAGTATTTAACTGCTCCCACATTAGGTACTTGCATTGCAAAAACAAATTATTTCAGTTATACTGTAGCAAGATTTCCAATAATGATAATCCCATAGACAAGTTTCACTCTGTTCCCCAAAATCACCATATAAGCACACATATAAACTATCAAATGTTTGTGTTTAATTTCTAACCACAGGAGTAGCAAATCTAAAAGAACAGGAGTGTACAAGATATAATGCAATTAAAAAAATAAAATCTTACCTTTATTAGATTTGGATGACTTGTTCTTGTTAGGTTTAAAACAAGAGCCCCTTGATTTCTCTTCTCTATCCTTGATAAATTTCTGCACATCATCCAATGAAAGCTTTTGAAGGACAACTACAGGCTTAGCTCCTTTATTTAGATCTTCAACTAGCAGAGTCTTCTCTATTTTGTCCTTCTGTTCACCTTTAAACTCAGTTTTCCTTGACTCCTGAGTAACATTGACATCTTTATCACGCTTTATTTTTGGAATGACAAAATGTTTCAGTGCACCAGATCTTGCCCCCAACAAATAACTGGGAAACTCTGCTTTACTGTCATGTGCTTTATTAGTATCTACTTTACTCTTATTACCTTCTGTCCTTCGTTCATCCTTGCTGTTGGGTGATTTAAAGCCAGGTTTATCAGGTCTTGATTTACTAGAATCTCCTTTACCTTCCTGTTTAATGCGAGGGCTGTCAGGTCTTGATTTGTGATCCCCAGAAGAAAACCTTTCCCTTGATTCACCAGACTCATATCTATGTTTCCTTTCAAATTTCTCAATTTTTGAACCATCAGATTTAATACCATGCTTAGAATCACGTTCATTTTTGTTTGAGGATCTCAAATATTCAGGCCTTCTAACCTTGGATGGATCTCCTCTGTATCTCTCTGACTCCTGCCTGTCCTCAGATCTTTGTTTAAGGGTATCAAGGTCATGCTTCAGTGTATCAGAAACTGAACGCACATCAGGCCTCTGTCTTGTTGGATCAGATCTACTTTCAGATTTTATCCTTGAAGGATCAGATTTCACATTTAGTTTATGCCTAGCTATTTCAATTTTCTTATCTGACAATGATTTACTTGAGTCCCTCCTGCTATCATGTCTATGTTTAGGCATTTCGGTCCTGCCTTCACTCTTCTGTTTCAGTATTTCAGGCCTCTGCCTTATTTCCTGCTTGCCATTATTTTGTTTTCCCTCATTTTGTTTCATCTCCATTTGCCTGCTCTCATTTTGTTTTGATTCTGTCTGTCTATTTTCATTGTGTTTCACTTCCATTTGTCTGCTTTCACATTTAGCTTCTACCTGTTTCTCATTATGTTTACTTTCCAGCTGCCTGCTCACATTTTGCTGAAATTCCATTTGTCTGTTTTCATTTTGCTGGATATCCATCCTTTGACCCTCAAAGTCCAATGTTTTCCTAAAAATCTCAGGATGGTTTTCAGGATTAAATCTAAGAACTCCAACAGTGTCTTCTTGTGGAACACACACAAATCCATCATTACACTGCTTAATTTCTTCAGGTTTTTTGATGGTGTTCAAATCCTGAGTTACTGTTGCCTGAGAGTCTGCTCTTCCTGCTTGATGAAGATCAATACTAACCATCAACGCTGGCCTCGCCCCATTTCCTGCAGAACCTGTCTCCTGAGAAGCTGCTCTATTTCCTCCAGTAGCACCTCCAGCCTCCTGTGGTTTGTTTTCTTGTTTTCGCTTCTTCAGAGGCTTATCTACAAATTAGAAGAGAAAAATCACACATGCTATATATAGAAACAGTTAAATGTCCAAGCAAAAACATCCATTCCCTTCCACCCCCACCAATTAATCCTCCTCAGCATGTATGTGCACACACAACAAAACCCATTGAATTTAAAAGCAAGAACAGAACTTCTCTAATACTTTTTAATGTATTTGTACTATCATTTGTTGTCAGTCTACCACATGTGCCAATTAATCATTAAAAAACCACCCTCAAAGCATAAGAAATCCAAGTCCACAAATCAATTTACACATGAAGCAGGTTTTGAGGAATACTACTATGAAAGATTCTCTTTTGCAGATTCAGCCTGCTTCATTATACATGAACTAACCTAGAATCTGCAATGATTAAGATGGAAGTTCTCCCTGTTTGATTCGGTGCATCAGCTGGACTTCGCACATATTGTAGCCAGGGAACACATGAACTTCAACACCCCATGCTTCTCTTTGAAACAAGGACTAAATAAAGAGTTGGAGTCTACACCATAACACACATGTATTAGGTGAGGGACCCCTACACACATAAAAGCTTGAGTATTTTCCCTTTGCAACCATAATGCTTTTCATGGATGAAAAAAAGTTCGGTGATAATTTTATGTAGTGTCAAAAGATTGACTCTCAATAATCCTTTCAGTTTACATTAAAAAGATCATTAAGAGTAGAATACAGAAAAAAAAAAGTAAACCAACCACACACCCTGTAATTTGGTAGACTTCATAGAAATTAGAAGCACATGGAAATATCAAAAGGACTATGTTCTATTAATTTAAAATACAACCTATTTACATTACCAACATGGTACTCTAAAATTAATTTCTGCCACGAAACTCAAAAGCACTAATGCTTATATTCTCATGTCTCAAATATCATTCCATAATTTATCAAAAAAATCCCCA